CCCCCCCAAAAAAAAGTTATGTTAATGTAGGTTAATGTGGGCTCCAAGGTTCCTTATTGTTGTCTTTTCAAAATAAATCACATTGCATGACTATTAACAAGCTGTTTTATTTACATATAAATGCTTGGATATGATATTTAACGTTTTCAAGTCTGTTCATTATTTGTAGCGTGCCAGCAACAAAATAATCGCAATAAGCGTTTTACTTTCAATATAACAAAAATATTATCCTTTAAATTCTGTCAGTTTTATCACCAAATACAAACAATAAATGTGTTTAATTTAACTCTCTGGGCCTTTCTTTCGGCAAATTCATCCACAATGTCCTTGGTATTTAATTTAAGGCTTTGTGTATTCTTAATGGAAAGAATGACTTTCGATAGTCTTTCAACAAAAGAGAATTAAAATGAAAGAGAATTAAAACGGTGCAGGTGTTGCTGAAGCTAGATGTGAGCTGTGATACAGTCTTTTCAACTAGATAGCTACCAACCTCACACAGGTTGTTTTAAATTAATTATTGATTATTATTTTATTTGGCCATGGCAATGCACCGTTTGCACATAGTTAAAAAAAAAAAGTTATACGGCAGCAATGTAACAAATGCACACAAGAAATTAACAATTACCAATTACCTGCACATGACATGCAGACAATATATTGTGGCCACAAATTAAGAAGAATTAAATTAAAAGGTCCCCCTCAGCGGGCCCCCAATCAGCCTGGGCCTATATGCCCTGCATACCCAGACACTATGCCCCTGTCTCAATGTCATATATAGAAACTCATCCTGACCTACTGAGCATTAAGAAATGTTTTAAGTACTACTGTAGTGCATGGTTGATGGATGATCTGGTCGCTGAGATGAGATGAAAAGCCATGAGTGCTTTTTCAGCAAATGATTCTATATACCTGCAGTGTTTCTGACGCAATAAATAAAAGATGGCTCTTATGCTCCTTACACATATGAAATGCCTCAGTAAATTGTCCCTCATGTGGAATAATGGTAAAGGTGTGCTCCGTTTCACTCTCCTCCTCTCTTCTCCTATCTGAACTCAGTATCATACTATAGCTATAGGTACTATGGGCTCGTGTTTATGAGTCTTATGAGTCACATTTATAGGCTGATTAAACAATGAAACATCAAATCAAATAATTATGCCCATGAAGCAAAAAGCATTTTCTAGATTTTTTTGTGCTGTGCTGAAAATCCTAATGCTCCCGGTCAAATATAACCAGCCTTTGTTTGTAGATCTCGCATTATGCTAGATTATCACTACATCTTGTATTCAATCTTTTTATCAACTTGTTTTCTTTCAGTTAGCATAGGTTTTGTTTTTCTTTTTGAAACTGACCGGTCATAGCCCTCACTGCTCTGAGTTTAAGCACCTCAGTTTTTGAGTGAAAAAGCATTTATGGTTCGTTTTGGTAATATTCACAAAAAATGAGGTTACCAATATTTGGTAATAGTTTAGACCTAATGCTCCAGAGAAACAAGCCTGCAGACGTCTTTTGAAGTGTTTGTCATAACAAATGTCAGTAGACCGGGAAGATTTTTAAACTAGTGGTAGTTGTGGAAATTCAATTGAAGACAACAAGCACAGCTCTGAAAAGGAGCGGAGCTACATAAGGTCTACAGCATAGCAAATTTATACTTTACACATTTTTGTAGGCCGGTCATTTTTGACCAGGAACCCCACAAGTGTTAACAAGACGGGCAGGGAAATTATTATTAGGTTTAGTAGCACAGTACACATAGCTAGTTTTTTTTTTTTTTTTTAATTTTGAATAGAATAGGATAGGTGTGCTAGTATTAATTGGTCAGGTGCTCGCGAAAAAGATGTGTCTTTAGACATTTTTTGAAAATGGCTAAAGACTCAGCTGCTTGAATTACATTGTAACTTTATCTGAACTATTTAATCGAGGTCTTCAGGGTTACAGGCAGGTGTGTTTTTGGGATGATTCGTGATGGAAGTAAATTCCTCGGGGCAGTGGCCATCCAGGGTGGGCATGGCCTTATACAGTATAAGTAAACACCTGACCATTTATTACACTGTCACAGTATCAAGTGGTAAAGAATTGAGTTGCCCTAAGATTACAATTAGGCCCAGTATTTAATTCATGAATTTTGGAATTACAGGGAGATTTGATCTCAACTCCAAAAACTTTGTCTGCAGACATACTTTCAGTGTGGCTGGAGGTCGGTTCTTCTTCTTCACTGCACTTCAAGCTCTGTCTCTCACACCGGAATGTGACAAGGCTGCCTTGTTCCTCATCAAATATACAAGCACTTTGTCTTCTAACACATTTGCATAGTGAAGCCGCAAAAATACCTTTCTCTGTCCATTTGTGTTCTTGTGGGGCAGTCAAAATGAGCGGACCGCATAATCCCTGTCCCACAGAATTTGCTCAGCTGCCAGAGCAAATTACATCACTCAGTTTTACCAAGAAAGCACATCATGTTTCAAAATTCTCTGGCTGTCTTTCTTCCTGAAGGATGTCCTGAAGCTCACTAGGCATAAAATGATTTAATGAAATGTTTCAGTCATCAAGCACAGATCCTTACAACAGTTTTTCTCCCTTTTCCATCTCAAAGATGATGTCAGCATTTCATTAATGACAATGAAAATTATGTCAGTGAGAATTGCCACATTTTTCATATAATCACAACAGACATTGTGCACATGACAGGTTCTCTGAATGTATTTAAATACAGAGTATATTATCTTGTTTACATTAATGAAATGCATTAACTACCGCTGATTCCCTTCATATATGAAGCCCTTGACAAACCTACATGGAGAAATTTTATTTTTCAGCAGCATTATTATTCATTATCTCAACTGCTTTTCTCTACTTTTCATGTAACTTGAGTCACATTCTGACTGTGTTTCTCTGAGCAGTTGGGCCCGCCTCTGGCTCATACAGTTAATTCAATCAGCTTGACATGTACTGAAGAACAAGCTTTAGTTTTGACTACATTGAGACTGAGACACTGACATTCTAACATCCGTTACGGTGTCTGTTCAATCTGGCTGTGATAGATGTCCCATTTGTAATATCATCCAATTTTGTCTTCCATACAACAAATTGTTATATACAACAAATAAACAATTGAAATAAAAATTTGTGTCACTTTATATACATGTGTCGATACAAACTTTCACACTCGGTGTAACCTGTATTAATGCAGTCAGTTTTGTCAACCTTTTACCCCAAATATTCCAGTGGGCAGAAAGGCATGGATGCTCCGATGGGAATTCTGAGAGCAGCTTTTGACAGAGGAAAAAGAAGAGAGGGAAAAGAGAAAAATAACCTTGCCTTACACTGCATCTTACTTATAAATGTATCATGACCGTTTCTGTACAATACACTGGAATCTCATCCTCCTTTAATATTTGAAGGTTTAATAATTCATATACTAAAATATAGTTTTCTCCACTTTTCCAGCTATCTCCTCTTAGCAGCACTCAAAGTGGTCCAACAGGAGGAATGGGAAGAAAGAGTTTAAAGTGAGACTGAAAGTATGAGTGAATGTTTGTGAGTGTGAGTGAGTGAGCGAGCGAGCGAGTGTGTGTGTGTGTGTGTGTGTGTGT